AAAGGGCCAGTAATAAAATTCCTTGACTTTTAGCTAAGTGTTAGTGCTTAGATGAAAAAAAATAGGGAGAGCAGCCTCCTGACGTCCAGTCCCCTTCTACTGCTTATGTTACTGTGTTAGGACTTATAGAACTATTTATGGAGAGGGGCCATACCTTCAAAGAACCCAGTCATGTAGAGTCACTGGGACTTAAAACAATGATATGTTTAAGACAGGGGCCTGGGAGTACTTGATGGATTCTTTCCTTTTCTCTGAAGAGGAGGTGATATTGCCAGTGTTGTGGTGCTGATTAAGTGAGAGAATCAACATGCTCTAGAAAGAACTTAGTTCTTGAGAGAGAATAACATGCTCTTTTGTTAAAAAAAAGTTGAATCATCATGAGAGAGACCCTTACAAAGCTGTTTATGGTTGGATTTCAGTTATACAGTATTCCAATACTCCTCCCTCCACCAGTGTACATTTCCCAGGACCATGTCCCCAGTTTCCCTCCCACCCCCCTCGATGTGGGCCAGGCTGTCTCTGTGTAGCTGCCCAGAATGACTGATAAGTTACAGGGCCGTGAATGGGCTCTTCTGCGTGATCTTGAGGCAGGCTTGGGACAATTAGGCATAAAGTGTATGCACAATGGCCTTTGGTGTTCACTGTGATCAACCTCTGGTACCACACAGATGGTGCCACTGGACTCCAGACTCAAAGAGACCCTCTGGGTTTGTTTCACTGTGTCTGTATCTTCTTGGAGAATGGCAAAGAGGCACCAGGTAGAGGTGAGAGTAGGGGTGTGCCGTTGCCCTTCCCCCATATCCTTCAGAAGAGTACTGGTGCATGTCCTGGATGGAGATGCACATAGGAGAGGGGACAAACACAAGAACTGGGAATGACTCAAACATCCCACTCAACTCAGCATGTCCTTTTGGGCCTGTCCTACTTCCATGGAACTGTTCTAACAGAGACTGCATGAGTACTAACACTGTAGAGGGTCATTTCATCTGTCCATCTCTACAGAGGACACAGAGATAGCAAGTGTATGTGTGTGTGTGTGTGTGTGTGTGTGTGTGTGTGAGAGAGAGAAAGAGAGAGAGAGGTGGGGGGGGGGGAGGAGAGTGTATTTTAGGCTGATGGGACAGCAATGCCTTCCTTTGCACCCCCTGACAACCTTCTCTACCTCCCTGGAATGTTAGACTATGGTTTAAGCTATTTTCATACAGAAATTAATATGCCTTCACCCTTTTGCTGCCCACTTCCTCCAGTCCCTATTGAAGCTCAAACCCTTTGCCACAGACACTCCAGGTCCACATTTCCCTGTAAACTTCTGAGCCTCTGCTTCTAGATTCTCATTTCCCTTCATGTATTTGCTCTTGGTTCCACTGAAAACCCTCTTTGCCCCTTCTCTGCTTTCTGGGTTTAGTGACCTCCTAGTGGCCTGTGCCAAAGGGTAGAGTCAGGCCTTTCTGACACTGAAAAATAAACTCTTGCTCCTTCCCTCTTCGAAGTCTCTCAAATGCACAGAGGTGGCCTGAGCTCCATCCTGAGCCCCTGGAAGGTTCTGAACTGAGGGCGCCCTACAGATGTGTAAACATCTTACCTTGCTCTGCAGGCTAGACACTTTCCAAAGGCAACAGGAAAACCAGGGAAGAAAAGAGCCCCTGGCAAAATAAAAAACCCACCAGAAAGAGAGAAAGTGAGGGGAAGAGGATCCTGTTTCAGATGTTAATTTTCTCATGAGAGTTTTCTGTTTGAGGGAAGTGGGGTTAGCCTAGCAGAAAAGAGGAAGGTGAGCTGAGAGGTGAGATGGTACAGGTCAGTGTGTCAGTGTGCACCCTGCCCCCCCCCAACATTACTTGTTTCCGGTTTACATACACAGTGAGAAGCAGCAGCAGATGGATCTGGGGGCAAGTTCTCCCAAATCTGGAGTCTGAGCTTGAACTTTGGAGAAGTCATTGGTGAACATTTTTTTGTTTTTGTTTTTGTTTGTTTGTTTGTTTGCCACACTGTTCTTGAGGCTCACTCCTGGCTCTGTACTCAGGGATCATTCCTGTAGGGTTTGTGGGTCTATGTCGGGTACCTGGGGGTCGAACTCAGATTGGTTGCATACAGAGCAAAAACGCTACCTACTGTACTATCACTCCGGCTGCTGAGTTTTGAACAATTTCTGAATAACAGCTATGCCAAAGTAGCCTCATGATTTCAAAGTCAGTTTGGTAGTGGATTTTGGGAGCACTTCTACTTTATTTGAACCTCCTCCTCCTAACTACCATTGTCAGGCAAGACATCTGCAGGTTACTCTCTCTGTCCTTTCTGAGTTTTGTTTCCATTTACTTTTAATGACTGTTCACTCTCCAGTTATCTCCAGTATCTCAAAAATTTACATCTCTGTGGATAATCCCTATATGCCAAGGATATATCTAAGGTTTTTGTAAAGAGAGGCGCAGATGAAGGGATTACAATAGGTAGAATTGATGTGTGTTTGTCTCCAATGTATGAGTGCTTACTTGCTGTCATCAGGAATCAGAGCTCTAGTGCAATGGAAAGGCGTTTGCCTTGCATGCAGTTGACTCAAGTTAGATCCTCAGAACCCCATAATGTTCCCTGCGCAGCACCAGGAGTGATCCCTGAGCTTAGAGTCAGGAGTGATCAGTGAGCACTCTGAGGTGTCCCACTTGCACTCCCGCCCTCAAGAAATATCGCTATCATCAGAATTTAAAGCAGATTTTTCCATAGATCCTGTTCTTCCTACTCCAGTAAGCAGGCACTTTCAGTAAGAAGTCTGCTTCTGTCTATCCTTTAGCCAAAGACATCTATCAGCACCTCTGATTCTGTTCATCCTCCAAATCTCTACCTTTTCTCTTCTCTTCCCTCTTTAGAATCTTCCACATAAGTCTTTCTTGAGGTACTTACCAAGTACTGGCCCAGGCAGGTGTAGTATAAGGTGCTGGGGCAGGAGACCCTTAGTGTAGGAATCATCACCCCAGGAAACAAACTTTCTGGGAATGACTCCAAAACCAGAAAACAAGTTTCTTAAAAACCAAAGAGTTTAGGGAAGAGAATGAGCAGCACTCACATGGGCTGTCAAGGAGAATTTCTTAGAAAAGCTCATTTCTATTTCAATTGAGAAAGAAACCTGGAATCAGAAGGCAGCAGGCAAGTCAGGTGCAGGGGAATGTCACTCAGTCCCCATATTTCCCAGATGGAGAACCAAGATCTATAAATGCCCAGAGCACTTGGCCAAGGTTGTACTGCCTAGGAGAGTAGGTTGACTTTGGGGAGACTCTGCCCTATACCTGAAGAGGGAGTAGGAGGTGAGTTGGAGGCGGACTTAGATGCCCAGCCAAAACTGCCATCCATTTATGCGTCAGCTGTGAACAGAGAGATTTATACGAATTCTAAGGCCGAAGTGCCCACAAAGGAGGAACAGCAGCGTGGGCCTCCTCTATTGATTTTGCTGGAAGCTCTCCATGCTCATTTGATGAGTACTAATGGCAGATGCACTGTCAAAGTTATGGTGACCGCAATAATCCTCCAGCTGAACATAGGGGCTATCCTTCTAAATGAGCATCTTTTATTCATTCTCCTCCCACCTGGCCTCATACATCATCTGACACTGAAAATACACTCTTAATTAGAGAGTCCTCTTCCCCATCCAACAGCTTTGTCTGTGCCAAGGACACTGGGTATCTTCCAGAAAGGCTGGGAAATGGGGGTTGGTGAGTAAAAAGATAATTAGAGCCTGAGAGAATCTGTTAAGTGACTTCCTGGGGCTCCCAGATTGAGTCTAGAAAAGTCTGGCTTGGAACTTTCCCAAACACCTAACTAAAATTGGTAGCACCTCCACTATGGTGCAGTTCAAAACTCTGGTGTCATTAATAATGGAGGGAAGGGGTTGCAGAGCACAGTACAGAGGGTCCCAGGATCTGATAGATCTAAGGTCCACCTGTAAAACAGTTAACAATAAACCCATCTCTTTGCTGCCTTTAATTCTATTATTGTCTTATATTAAATGGGAAGCTTAGCATCACTGCCTTGGGGGTGTTTTAAGAATTAATAAATTAATGTATACAGTGACCACTCCATAATACCTAACCTGTGATAGAGACTTGAAAGATTATGCTTATGATTACTAACATGTTTTCTGTGTGAAGAAGTTGCTCACTGAAAAACATGTGCATGCATACTAAAGAAAATCAAGAAAAATTTGGGTTTGGTAAAATTGCCAAAGACTTTTAAAGTTCAACAAAAAACAGGTCTCCGCTCCCTCCCCTGTAAAGTAAAGGGATTGAAAGTAATGGTCTGGAAAAGGCTTTCCAGCACAGATATTAAAGATGTCTATTTTTCTTTGAAAATTAAGATCAGGACTCCTATGAATAATATCTTTATAGCCCTTGACCCTCACTTCTTCTGACCAGCTTTCCTGAAAATCTAGAACACTTACCATTTGATGAGTGCTTATTTCTGGGGTCCAACCAAAATCATGGTGTCTCCAGTAAGGATCAATCTTCTATGTGAGCATCTTTTATGTACCATCAGTGACTATTACCACCTGTATTATTTTACACTTAAAATACCCTCTTGGATCCAGAGTCCTTCTCATCTAACTGCTTTGCAGAAACCCCAAGATTTCTGATGTTAATGATAATGAGTGCTACCATATTGTTTCCTTTTGTTCAAACACCCATATTTCAAACAAAAATATTTCTTGTAATATTCATTCAAACCCAGTAAAGATGAATCACCTTGGATTTAAGTGATGGTTTCACCCTCTCCAAACTCAACTCACTGTCCTCTGGGTCCCATGAGTCCTTGACTTACCCTTGGGTTAGTTAGTCTCAGAAGCACCACTGACAACTGCCAGGACCCCCCATCCCCCAACCTCCCGTCCCAGTGCACGTGCTAAAACCACAGGTCTAAAGAGAGTATTTGGATCTATATTTTATCAGGGAGAAATCACTTATGAGCCACTTCTTGCATCCTTTATTTATTCCTCTTTTTCTTTTGGGGCTACATAGGGCTGTATGACAAGTGTTCTTATACCTCACGTGACCGAGGATGGGTCGTGGGTATTCACACCATCAGTGACCAAGGCAACAGAGACCCACGCTACTTTTTTTCCTTGAAGACTGACCGGGCTCGACAAGTGACCACCATCCATGCCCACCGCAGCTACCTCCCAGGCCAGTGGGTATATCTGGCTGCCACCTACGATGGGCGGCTGATGAAACTCTATGTGAATGGTGCCCAGGTGGCCACCTCTGGAGAGCAGGTGGGTGGCATCTTCAGTCCACTGACCCAGAAGTGTAAAGTACTTATGTTGGGGGGCAGCACTCTGAACCACAACTTCCGGGGTTCCATTGAACGCTTCAGCCTGTGGAAGGTGGCCAGGACTCAGCGGGAGGTACTGCTGGACATGGAAATCCAGGGGCTCCACCCTCCTCTACCTCAGCTCCTTCTCCAGGAGAACTGGGACAATGTGAAGCGTGCCTGGTCCCCCATGAAGGATGGCAACAGCCCACGGGTAGAACCCAGTGGTGTCCACAGCTTCCTGCTGGACACTAATTTGGAGCCCCCTCTGTGTGGGCAGACATTGTGCGACAACCCTGAGGTCATTGCCAGCTACAACCAGCTGCCACGCTTCCGCCGACCCAAGGTGGTGCGCTACCGTGTGGTTAACTTGCATGAGGACGGCGGGGAGAACCCCACGGTGAGCCGCCAGCAGATTGACTTCCAGCACCGGCAGCTGGCCGAGGCCTTCCAGCACTACAACATCTCCTGGGAGCTGGAGGTGCTGGAGGTGAGCAATTCTTCCCTGCGTCGCCGCCTCATCCTGGCCAACTGTGACATTAGCAAGATTGGGGATGAGAACTGTGACCCTGAGTGCAACCATACCTTGACTGGCCATGATGGCGGGGACTGCCGCCACTTCCGCCACCCCCCTTTTGTGAAGAAGCAGCAGAATGGGGTGTGTGACATGGATTGCAACTATGAACGATTCAACTTTGATGGCGGAGAGTGTTGTGATCCCGAGATCACTGATGTCACCAAGACGTGCTTTGATCCCGACTCTCCACACAGGTAAGGCCACAGGCAGCAGATGCCTGGTTAAGGACTGATCATGTGCCCGGCTAGGTAGGCCAGGCCTCTGTGTTCCGGGGGATTCCGGGAATAGCCCAGTTCACATAGCAACCTGGTGAGCAAGGCTAACCTACCTCTCAAGTCATGGTGGGGACCATAAGCAAGATGAGCCTATGGTGGGAACATCGTGTGCCTCCTCAGTATGGGAAGCTCAGAACACTCTCTGCTCAGGAGCTCGGTCTAAGTGGGTGAGACATGAGCTGAGGGCAACATGCTGTCCCACCCAATGTGGTGGAGGTGGGGGAGATCTGTATGGCTCTTAAGTTTTATGAGTTAAGACTAAATAAAGCTTAAAACCTGGTTGCACTTGCCCTGCTCGGAGTACACAGCACTCCGAGTACACACTTGGAGTACACACAGCTCCGTATGGGACAGAGCAATATGGGAGACTCCCATTGAGTTGCAAGTTTTTGTTGGACAGCGTTGGTTAAGCTGAGGTCACAGACCTCAGCTCAGATCCTAGCTCTGCAATTTCCTTGCTCAGAGACCACTTGAAGCTATTTCCTTGTCTGTCAAAAGGGGATTCTAGGGGTACCTACTTGGTCAAGCTGCTCTGAGGGTTTATTGAGAAAGGGCTCTGTTCCTCCTACCCTATTTTTACTGACTTATCATTAGTTTATAATTGTGAGAGTAGAACTTAACACCTCTGGGTATGTATCAAATTTCCTACATTCCCCCTTTAAACTTCTAGTACCACCAGGAAATCGACTCTCTCTAACTGTTCTTCCTACTCACACCCTGTCCTCCAAGTAACCCCCCATAGTTGTAACTGAATCTAGGAATGGAGACTCTCCTGTAGTCTCTTTTTCTGGTGAGATAAAATTATCTATGTCAGTTTAGTTATTACTATAGAGTTAACCTTGAACAGGTTTACTGATACCTGGAATTTCTTATAGGCAGACAATGAAAATGCATGGTATTCATAAAAACAGTACCATAAACATGTTTTTTCTTCTTTTTTGTGATTTTCACTTTTGCAGAGGGGATGGTTCTCAAATAGTGCTCAGGGTGCCTGGAACCCCTCCCAGCTATTCTCAATCAACCAGACAAGTATTTAGTGCTAAGGGCTTATGGCACAGTGCTGTTCTAGCTCTATGGTGCTGTGATTGATTACCCAGGTCACTTGCCTGGAGGATTTTGATTTTGGAGTTGGATGGGGATCCAAGGCTACACCCAACAATGTTCAGGGGACCATGTGGTATTGGGGATCGATTGCTTTTCTGCTAGGACTATCTCTCAGCCCCTTGTGATTTTCTTAATTTCATTTCCTTTCCCCTGTCTACTTTAGGGTAGAGAAATATGTATGTAATACCTATGTAATATACAAAATACTTGTTCATTAACTATGTTATTAGCAATTCTTTCAGTCAGTAGCAGATTCAGAGGACTTTAGTTTGGGGATGTCAGAAGTTACATGTGGATTTTTGACTATGGAGGACCCAAGTGCTCTGAGCCCTTATGCTGTTGACATGGTGCTGGGTTTACAGGGGCATTATCCATAAGACATATCCTGGAGGAAGAAAATAACTTTGCAGCTTGAATATCTCAGGGAAGGTCAAAGTGTCATCTGCTGTCTGAATTGGGGGAGAAAGGAAGGCATTCATGATGGTGAGAACTTGGTCCACTTCTGAGAAGAAGGCAGCATAGGATTCTTCTCTGTCCTCACTCGGAAGTGCCTCCCACAGTCCTTGCTGTCAACTGCCCACTCTAACCAGCTGCCCCAAATGAAAACCCAAAGGTTAACCCAAGGGTGAGCCACATAAGATGGGATCTAGAGGAACACGTTCCTCAGCAGAGAGACAGTCAACATTCGCTTTCCTGTTTTCCCCGGATTCGTGCTGAACTTTTCCATTCTGTTCAGCACGCAGGACCCTGGACTTGCTGATGGCTCCAGTGCATTTGCCGACCTCTGCAGGTTTTCTGCTGACTCTTCTCTTTATGCTGCTCTCAAAAGAGCAAGGGCCTCCCATACACAGACAAAATGCCTCCGTGAAAAGGAATGAGGATGCTGGCAGGAGAATGTCATGCCTGGCAACAAGCCAGCTAGTACGTTAGCTCAGCCTCCTGGCACCAGGCAGGTCCCTGGACTCTCACCTTGGCTCAGAGGTGTGAGCGGTCCATGAGTGAAGAAGCCTTAGTGCATGGCCAGTTCCTTCCAGGTCACCGTGCACTTTCATCTCTGCTCTCATTTGGGCTTTGGTAGAATTTGGCGAGGAAGACAAGACAGGGATTAGCATTTGCATTTGACTGATGGGGAGTCAAATGACTTGACCAAAGTCATGGGTCAGGAAACTCATTCGGCTGAGTCACAAATGCAGGTCTTCTGAGATTAACGTAGTGAATGCTCCACTAAACTAGGCTTCCAGGAGGAAGCCATGGACTCAGGCAGAGTGGACAAGAAGAAGGGCAAGGGGTCATAAATAGCAGGAATCTGTTCACCCATTTGGACATTCATTCATTCATTCATGTGACACATTGTTATTCAGCATCTACCAAATTCCAGGAAAGTGGATACTCTGGGCCCTATTTTACTGAAGGAAATTCAGAAAGAGGAAAAGATTTGCCCAAGGATGCTTATCTAATGAACAGAGACTATTTGAAGTCAACCAGGTCTGTTGACTTCAAAGTTCCCACTGAGGTAGCATTTGGAACAATAAAAAGCAGATAAAGGACAGAGGTAGCAAGTAAGGTAGGGAGAAGCCTGCTGAGAAGCTTTGGATTAGAAACAAGGGTAGCTGGTCTTTGTTGCAGGCCCTGTGCTCTTGTGGAAGGGCCATGAGACTCCAGCCCCCAGATAAAGAAAGCACTGGCAATATCTACCAGCCTCCTCTTTCCTGAGTCATGGGACCATACGCCCAGAACATCAGTGAGTGGCCAGATGCCAGCAGTGTGACCACTTTCAACAAGGCCTGTTAGTTTGCTGACTGGGAAATCTCTGTGTCCTGGGTGAGACCCACAGGCAGGGGGTCATCTCCTGACAGGTCTGGGGTTACTGGGTTCTGGATGAATCAGCTCTGCTTGCTGGAAACAGAGAGAAACCTAGACTAATATACAGAAAAATATTAGGTTTTGACTAATAAATAAAAAAAGGGTGGGAGGATAGTGGAAGAAATTGAGGGAGGCAAGAATAAATGGAGGGAGGGAAGGATAAAGGGAAGTAATGGGGAAGGAAGAGAGGAAGGGAGGGAGGGAGGGAGGGGGAAGGAAGGGAGGAAGAGATGGAGGGAGAGAGAAAGGAGGGAAGGAAGGAAGGAAGGAAGGAAGGAAGGAAGGAAGGAAGGAAGGATCATTAACAGGCAGTGAAAATTAGATTGATATTATTTATTAGGTAATTTTTAATAAAAGATTTGAATTTAATTCTCAGAGAATACTCCCCCCCCCCCCTCTCTCTCTCTCTCCTCATAGAAAAAGAGACAATAAAAACATTTCAATGATGACTTCTCCACTTATGGTACAAGACTATGTTATGTTGTTTTCTCCCTCCTCTGTACATTGTAAGACAAAACTTGTGTAATTTACAGTAAAATGGAATTGTCTTAAAATGAATAAACCCAAGAATGATGAGATTGTCTTAGAATTCTCTAAAAATTCTCAAACGTTTTTAATGTTATCTCTCCACTTCTGTGTTCCTGGTCCATGGATAAGGAGGAGACAGTTGCTACTTGGAGTAGTGTAGTTACTATGAATCTTTCTGGAAAAATCTGTAGCAGTAAAGTAAGATCCCAGTAATGTACCTGGGAACGATGGCACACATCTAAGAAGCATCCTTTCTTTAAACACATTCAAACTCATCCTTTGTCTACCAGACTTGGGCTTCCTACAACCATGTTCTCAGGAATACTTGTGTTACTGGAGAAAATTAGTCACAGCAGAGGGCTGCTGGGGACCCAAGGGCAGGGCTGGAGCAATGGCACAGCAGGTAGGGTATTTACCTTGCACGCAGTCAACCCAGGTTCGATTCCCAGCATCCCATATGGTCCCCTGAGCACCTCCAGGAGTGATTCCTGAGTGCAAAGCCGGGAGTAACACCTGAGCATCACTGGGTGTGACCCAAAAACAAAAACAAAAAAAAGAAAAAGAAAAAAAGGGGGTGGCCCCGGGGCTGGAGTGATAGTATTGTGAGTAGGGCATTTGCCTTGCATGCGGCCGACCCGGGTTCAATCCCTGGCTTTCCATATGGTCCCCCAAGCACTGCCAGGAATAACTCCTAAGTGCAGAATCAGGAGTAACCCCTGAGCATCGCTGGGTGTGACCCCAAAAGAAGAATAAAGGGGTGACCTGGAAACATTCTTAGATGTCCTTGGGTTCAAACCCCCTTCTCTCCTGAGCTAGAACAGCGCCACTTTGTGGTCAAACTGGAGTTGGAACTTTTTTGTTTTTCTTTTTCTTTTTTACTAGAGTGTTTGGACTTTGACCAGCCTCAGGGAGTTGGGAATATTAAGGCTTGTTGATCCCTGCTCATATGCTGTGGTCTGGCTTTCTGATGTTCAGCTAACCACAGATACCAGTCCCTCGCATTCTGTCCTCCCTCTGTTCTTCCCAATGATCCTCCAGAATTTCGGACGATGAAGTACAGAATGAGATTGGAAGAGAGTCAGTATGGTCTGACTTCACTCGGAGTTGAGCTCCCTTGGCAAAGAGTTTTCTGTATGAAGATAAGGACAGCTGATGGAGGCAATGTACAGAGAAGGGAGATTGGGAGTATTAGGGCACCAAGAGGAAGGGCATATGACCATCTGAAGATGTTTGGAAGAGAAAAATCTTCACAAGAACTTGACTGAAGGATTGGTACACAGGCTCTTCAAATCTCCAAAAACCAGACCTGTGGAATACAGGCCTGCTCTATGTTTTCTAATCCATGGCTGGTACAGGGGTGTCAAAATAACAGGAAACAGCGTTGAACTAGGCTACACTTGAGGTCATGCCCAATCAGAATGATC